AGTTGGAATTGACTCAATGGCACCTAACAACATCATACAAATTAAATCATATATTCTACCCATGAATTTATTCAAAATTCAAATTATTCTCTCAAGGAGCTGGTAATCCAACATTATGAATGCTATTTTGTTCATCTCCTTACCAAATATTTTCTGAGTCCCCCTCAAGTCACTGAAAAGCGCCATCTCCTTCCAATGGTTAAAAAAACAAGCAGAGCAGCACTACCCTAGGGCAGGATGGGGAGCAAAGGCAGAAGTGAGGAATTGTATATACCCATAGTAAATAGGGCATGGATGCTTTCTTTCACTATTTGGGCTGAAAAGTAAAATCAAAGGTCAAAGTTTTCCAATGGGGACTGTGGCATTTAAGGCCACTATGTCTACCTGGCTGGGCCACGGTTTTGAGTGACTGAACAGAAGGATATAGTTATTCCTCATGATGAGACTGGTAATCAACTCCATGGTGGAACCTGCTGTGAGCAGCTGAGTAGCTACCTTAGGGATATGGTCTGCTTCCAGTATATAAGGAGACGCTTTGAGAAAGGTCTTGGGCTTTTTGGCACATGTGGATCCAGAATTTGGCCAAGTCTTCATCTCAGTGGCCTGCCATGTTGTCTGCCAATCTTGAGACTGTTTCTGGACTTGAACTAGTGGCCTGCCATTTTGATAATCTTGTTGTTGCTGTTGTTATGTGCCATGGAGTCGGCCCCGACTCATAGCGACCCCTCCTTGGGTTTCCGAGGCAGTATCACTACGGAAGTAGGACTGCCCAACCTTCCTTCCGAGGAGTGGCTGGTGGGTTTGAACCGCCAGCCTTCTGGTTAGCAGTCAAGTGCTTTAGCCACTATGCTACCAGAGCTCTTTTTGACTATGCTATTTTACTTGTCTGCCTTAGGGTCTGTCAGCCTCAGCAGCCAGCAGCTACTTGAGTTAAGAGACACCTCCAGCTCCAGTGGACCAGGAGCAAGAGGCAGAACTGAAGCCCAAGGTCAAGGGCCCTTCACCCAGCCCCTAGAGCTGGTACTTTGAGCTTGGACCTCTGGCCTCCTAAACCATAAGAGAATAAATTCTTATTTGTTAAAGCCATCCATTTGTGGTACTTCTGTTACAGCAGCACTAGGGAACCAAAACAGTGTCCAAGAGGAAATGTCATGAATATCCAAAGTATACATTTCCCCCTCTATATGAAAGGAGAGTACTCCTATGAAACTTTTCTTGAGTCAAAATAGCATAAAACAAAGAAGCAATTACCATTAATTTACATGGGAACAATATTTGAGCATTCTTAGACCCAAAAAATAACCTACTAAATCATACCAAAGATTTTGGTTCTCTTATACTACTCTAACAGAAAACAGCACAAATTGGTGGCTATACAGAGCTATATTCAACCCTTACTGACAAAGCCCACTAACTTACTTATAAATAGATGTAAAATTAAGATGATTGACAACATTTTCCTTACAAGGACTGTGTGTGGTATGTGTATAGTGAAGAGGGGAGGGGGGGGGGAAGAGCAATGGTGTGTCATTTTAAATAGGATGGTCAAGAAAGGTCTCAATAAGGTTACATCGGAATAAAGACCTGAACAAAGACAGGAAACAAGCCACAGTGTTATATGGGGGCAATGTGTTCCACCAAGCAGAGGAACAAGTAAGTGCAAGAGTCCTGAGGTGGGTTCATGCCTACTGCAGTCTCCATACATCCACTAGACTTCCACTTGGTTGTCCTGTTGCTATTCCCACTGTGCCTCACAGCTCTCCCTGACTTCCAGGTTCCCCACACTCTCTCAGGCACCTAAACCTAAATCCAAAATCACTTTGTGCGCATTCTTCTCTTTTTTCTCCAGTGGCCAACTCATACTGTAACTTGCCCAAAGGGGCAAGGAGGCTGCATCTCCTGACCTCCTCTAACCCCACAAGAGGAAGACAGAATCACCATCAGCAGCCCAAGGCCTATTTCTGCAAGGCCAGACATGCTGCCTCCTTTTAGCACTTTCACCAACTGTTCCTCCCAAAGCACCCACCACCTCTCTGCTGGGTTTGATAATTTGCTGCCGTGGCCACACAGAACTCACAGATTTGGCGGCTTATTAGAGAAGCACCAGGCTACAATTCAAGTTCAGAAACAATGCTCAGTCTCTCTCAGCCCGCTCTCTCTCAGCCAACAGTCTTTCTCAGTCTCTCTTCCAGCAGTGCGTAACTCTCAGTGTCTCTCTCAGCAGCACATGTCTCTCAGTGTCTCTTTCTCAGCAGCGCATGTCTCTCTGACTGCTGGCTGAGAAAGATGTGCTGCTGAGAGAAACACACTCCTGAGAGACACGTGCTGCTGAGAAAGAGACACCGAGAGACACACACTGCTGGAAGAGAGACTGCTGGCTGAGAGAGAGCGGGCTGAGAGAGACTGAGCATTGTTCCTGAACTTGAATTGTAGCCTGGTGCTTCCCTAATAAACCCCATAATCCGTAAGTTCTATGTGGCCACTGCAGCAATTATCGAACCCAGCAGAGAGGTGATGGGTACTTTGGGAAGAACAGCTGGTAAAAGGGCTGGAGGGAGGCAGCATGTCTGGCCTTGCAGGAATAGGCCTTGGGCTACTGATGGTGATTCTGTCTTCCTCTTGTAGGGTTAGAGGAGGTCAGAAGATGCAGCCCCTTGCCTCTTTGGCACACGGTAATACCTTCAGAATGTTACATCTTTCTTTTCCCTACCAATCTCATTAATATCACACCAACCCAGAATTATAGAAATCATAGAATATTAAGACTGAAATGGACCTTTAACATCATCATTCTAATTTTCCACCTTACTGAAGACCTTATTACTCAAGACTCTGAAGTATCAAGCCAAAGATCTATGTAAAGGTTATTTGCCTTCTCTTCCAACACACCCCCAATCCAATTCATCATGCATACTACTCACAGATGAATGCTCCTTGCACACTGCACTCATCATGTTACTCCTCACTCCATGATACCTACAATAGCTCTCTATTGAACAGTCTTTTTTCACTGTCCTGCATAAACACTAAGCCCATTTCACCCTCTAAATCTTCATTCATGTTCCTTCTTTTGATATGCCTTCTCATCTTTCTTATCGAGCCAAACTTCATCTTTCAAGCCTTTCTTCAGAGAGCTTTCCAAGACTATGCCAGCCTTCATTGATTTCTCCCTTTCCAGAATTTCTATTCTATTTTATAGTTTATCATACAATCTAGCATGTATAATTGCTTTCCCAATCCCTCCACCTTGCAAAGCACTATTAATATCTCTGCCTTGTTTCACAGAATTCCTTAAGGACATGGATCAAGGTTTTGTCTCTCCCACAGGGCCTTACAGCAAATAATAACTATGATATTTTTAGCACTTACTCTGCCATATGTTATATTATACCTAACCAAAGGCACCTTGGAAGAAAGGCCTGGCAATGTACCTGCAAAAAATCAGCCCTTGAAACCCTAATGGTTCACAATTTTCCTTTGACATACATGGAGTTGCCATAAGTTGGAATAAACTCAAAACTGATTTTTTTTTTTTACATAATGTTGTATGATTGGTGTTATTCTTTCTATTTTACAGAAGAAAAAATGAAGGCACAAAAAAGTGAGGCTTAAGTCATATATCTTGGAAAAGGCAGAGCTGGGATTTGGGCCAAAGTCTGTCTCCTGAAGCTAGCATAAAGTAGGTCCTGAACAAGTATTTTGAAATTATCTAGTCATTTCACGTTATATTGATGGTCTTGTTATCCCAAATCAACTACAGAGAGCAGAAACCAGGTAAGGAGGCTTATGGCATGGAGTGGGAGCAACAATTCTTTGCTGAGTACCCATCAGGTGCTAGGCTGAGTACCAAGCATTTCATTTCTAGCATCTCATTTGCTCTGTGAACATTTGTAACTAAATTCTCTCCAACAAACAGCAGTTTTAATTCTTCCACCAGAGATCTATCCCACGTGTACTCAGGGATTTACCACTCTCAGTACAGTATAAATGCCTCCGGGGGTGATGAGCACTACACCTCTTCCAGCTTAAAGAGGACAAAGTCTCCCTCAATGCGAATCAAGCTAGGTTGAAACCTCAGCTTCAACAAGCATCTACCAAGTGCCCGGTCCTCCCTAGGCCAAGCCACCCTGCTCTTCACTCTGAACACTCACGACCTCATTTACTAAGCACTACAGCTCTATGAGGCAGGTAGCATTTTCTCCACTTTACAGATAAAGAAAATAAAGTCCAAGAAACTAAACTTTTAATCTAAGATCACATAGACAATGGAAGATTTGGGACTAGAATCCAGGTGTCCTGACTATCCATTCTATTCCACTTGCCAGCAGATACTCAGAGATGGTTAGCAATTTATCCTGGTCTCAGTGGGTCACTCTAGCAAAAGTTCAAATAATTTTCATTCAAAAAATATTTATTGGACAACAATATGCCAGCCTTATATTAGGCTTCAGACAAACACAAGTTAAAATACGGTATCTGCCACTATGTGACAAGAAAGTCTTTCATGTCTCTAGGCTCCAGTTCCCTCATCCATAAATGAAGATAATAACCAAACCAAACCCATTGCCCTCCAGTCGATTCTGACTTACTGTAACTCTGTAGGACAGTGTAGAATTGCACCCATGGGGCTTCCAAAGCTGTACTCTTTACAGAAGCTGACTACCACATCTCACTCCTGCAGAGCAAAGGTTAGGTTCGAAGTGCCTATGAGGCAGTAGCGGAGTGCTTTAACCACACTGCGCCACCAGGGATCCTGGAAAATAATAACAGTACCTACCAAATAATAATATCGTAAGAAGTAAACAAGATGATGAATGTGAAACACTCAGCATTTTATCTGGCACATGGTGGGCACCCAATCGATATGGGCTCATTTTACCTCCGCCCTCACAAGCCTCAGAGTTCACGCATCACAACCACACCACAGAGAACTGACCCGGGCAGAGGCCTGCACTCGGCCTCCGGCGTTTATAGGCCCGGGACCAGCCGCACTGCCATACCTGCATGGAGTCAGCACTGATGATCTCTCCACCAAGCCGCTGGCCTAGCTGCAGCGCCAGGGTGGATTTGCCGGTGCCTGTGGCCCCGAGAATCACTACAAGAGGTACTGTCGGTTGTATACCCCTCAGGCCTGAACCCACTGAAGCTGCTCGTGCGGCTGCAGCCGCCGCCATCTTCAAGGCAACTGCGCTTGCGTGAGAGCAGCTGTCCCCATGGCAACCGTCAGTGCGCCTGCGTGGACTTTGGGCTCTGCAGAGAGACTACAAAAGGAGAAAGTCTCAAGTCTTAAGAAGCTCGGGACTTGACTGTTAATAGCTAACCGGTATCCGAGCCTCAACTACTTCGTCTCTTAAGTAATGGATGGCAGCCCCATCTAAAATAGATCTGTCCCTATTCTTTCGTTCACGCACCCAGTTCTTTTCTTCATGGCACTAATGGCTAGTTGTTTATTGTTTGACTTCTGCTCCAGACTGTTAATTCCATAAAAGCAAGGGACAAAGTCTGCCTAAGAAAACAAAACCAAGATCACTACCATTCAGTCGATTCAGACTCATAACGACCCTCATTGGGTTTCCGGGGCTGTAAATCTTTACCAAAGCAGATTGCCCCATCTTCCTTCCAGGGAGCCCCTGATGGGTTTGAACAGCCAAATGAGTTATCCACTACGCCACCAGAGCTATCTCCAATACCTGATACAGTCCCTGCTACCGAATAGGCACCCAGTAATTGTTTCTGGTAGCGTAGTGCCTAAAGCACTTGACTGCTACCCAGAAGGCTGCCGGTTCAAACCCACCAGCCACTCCTCCCTCAGAAGGAAGGTTGGGCAATCTACTTCCGTAGAGATTCTGCCTCCGAAACCCAAGGAGGGGTCGCTATGAGTCAGGTCCGACTCGAGGGCACATAACAACAACAACAATTGTTATATAGGAGAATGGCTTACCTATCTACCTAATGCTGGAGCCAGTGAGCTCAGAAGTGTGGTGTTTTCTAGGATCAAGGCTGCCCTGCCTTCAGGATGCTCTGTTTTCCTCTCAGAATGCAAACTCAAAAGCAGGACAAAACTTTCCAACTCGACCAAGAGGTGCAAGAGATGGGGTGGAAACAGAAAAATGACCCACAAAATATAAAGAGGGGGAAAAAAAGGTAGAAAGGATAAAGTAGTAGCAGCTCTCAGATTATAGTGGGGTGGTAGAAGGGTTACAGCCAGACAGGACCAAAATTCTGAAAACTCCACGTCTTTTAAAAAAGGCTTTTGGAATCAGATGGGCCTGTGTTCACTTATCAGCTGTGTGACCTCAAGCAATTTACTTCACCTCTTAGTCTCCGTTTTCTTATCTTCAAATACCTCCTGGGATTGCATGTGGAGAAAATGAAGTAATGTCTGAAAAGTGCCTACTACAATGGCCTGGCACATAACAACCACGATTTGTTAAACTCTTCGTGTTAACACTCCATCTGCCTCACTAAAGAAGTAAAAACAGCAATCTAAGGGCAGCTACTCTCCGTTTTCACTGGCCAATTCTTTGAGAAGTGGATGGTCCCTTCCCTCTTCTGAGTCTGTGTTAGTCTGGAAGCTCCACGGAAACCTGTCCACCATGGGTGACCCTGCTGGCATTTGAAATACCAGTGGCATAGCCTCCAGCCTCACAGCAACACACACAACTGGAGCGATAAGCAGCATCACACTAAATGGAGAAAAGATTGAAGTTGTTAAAGATTTCGTATTACTTTTTAAAGTGCTGAAGAGCAAAGATGACTCGTTGAAGACTAAGGTGAGCCTGATCCAAAGCATTGTATTTTCGATTGCCTCATATGCATGTGAGAGCTGGACAATGAACAAGGAAGACCAAAGAAGACTTGATGCTTTTGAGTTGTGGTGTTGGTGAAAAATAATGAAAGTACCATGGACTACCAAAAGAACAAACAAATCTGTCCTGGAAGAAGTGCAGCCGGAATGCTCCTTGGAAGTGAGAATGGCCAGACTTTGTCTCACTTACTTTGGCCATGTTGTCCAAAGGGACCATTCCCTGGAGAAGGATATCATGCCTGGTAAAGTGGAGGGTCAGGGGAAAATGGGAAGGCCCTCATGGATTGACACAGTGGCTGCAGCAATGGGCTCAGGTATAGCAAGGACTTTGAAGCTGGCACTGTTTCGTTCTCTTGTACATAGGATCACTATGAGTCAGAGCCGACTCGATGGCACCTAACAACAACAAAGGCAGAGAAATTTTCAGTAATGTGTAAAAGTATTTAATACCCATTCTGCTAGACCCTTGTTAACCAACCCAAGAATCATAATTGCTTTCTGTCTGGGATTACTTGACTGTTTAACTCTCAGTTCGTGTCACTAGGACCCCTTGTACCAGAGGAATCCATACTACAAGTTTAGAGTATATGAAGGGCCTGCCTGGAATGACTGCCAATACATTTCTCAATCAGATGGATCATAGGTTAGCATAATGACCACTCTTACAGACCCAGCCTAAACCTTGTAGCCACACATATTATTTGGAGAACATAGTTCCCAGTTCTGAGTCCCCTATAAGCCCTTTTCTCACATCAAGCCTGCTTTGATCCAAAGCTCTGTTCTCTGTAATGTGTGGTACCCACTTGGGGCTGGGTTTAAAATGGAGATAAGTGGGCACACGTTGGCAGACACTCTTACATGATGGTTGTTAACTGTAGAGCCTTTGCCTGGAGACTTTCAGAGGGTACAGTTACCATGACAACCACCAGAAAGATGGCAAGCCAGAGAAATGAGGCAAATAAAGGAAAAGGGAGGCCAATTTCATGATGGCAATCTGACTATGACAGACTATGCTCACTCAGAGAGGAAAGCGCTGTCCAAGCTCTGAGCAGGTGACTGTTACTAGTGAGAAAAAAAAAGGGGGGAAGGAGGGGGAATGGGGAATCGGGGTGGAATTTACCACCAAGAGACCAAAAGAGGGAGAGGCTGGTTACCAAGGCAACTGGAAAGAAAGGAATGAAAAAATGGGGTTTCACCACAGCAGCAGAAAATTGCTTCTAGCCAAGCAACACAGGACTGTTGCTATAGAAACAAGGAGAACAGGGATCCTGTAGACCATGGGGAGAATTATTACTGAAATGCTGAGCAGGAAAGACTCCTAAATCAGAATGGAGCCTGTGGTCCAAAACAAATGAAGAGCAGTCAGAAAAACAGTACCATTTCCATTCCTTATAATTCTACCAGTCCTACCAAAAGAGAAAGGAAACATGTTTTTTTAAAATAAGTTTAGGCTGTTTTATTTGTATCTATTTGTCTCCTTAATGATCTTCAACTCTAAATTATACTGAAAACAGTTCCAGAAAGATAATCTATAATTTAAAATCCTAATTGGAGACATTAAATTCAAGGGAATATTGGGAGATTGAAGTCTATGACCAAGAGTTAGTATTTGTAAAAAAAACATGAAACACCCTAGTAGGAAGCTCTGCAAGGTAATAGAGACAAAACTAAAAAAAAAAAAAAAAAAAAAAAAACCAACTCTTAGTGACCCCTCCTTGGGTGTGCTATCACTAGGGATGTAGATTGCCCAGTCTTTCTTCAGAGGAGTGGCTGGTGGGTTTGAACTGTCAGCTTTACTGGTTAGCAGTCAAATGCCTTAGGTGCTCTGCCACCAGAACTCCTAAAGAGACAAAAAGCAGTCAAAAAGGAGTCGGGAAGTCTGCTTTGCTGTCATGTCCAGGTGTTAACACTCTTCTCTCTTCCTTCCATAAGGCCAAGTGAGAAGTAGCTCAATTTATTCTGAAAAGGAGGGTCCAGAGGAAAACTGCTCTCTCAAACAGAGTGTATTCATGGAGCCTGTAGAGACCCATCTCTGACCTATTATACACATTACAGATTATTTGGGGTAGGAAAAAGAAAAAAGGAAAAAAAAAATCCACTGCCATCAAGTCAATTCTGACTCTAATTTTTAGAGCAAAAATGCCAGGATAGGTTCAGTCTGTAACTAGAACATATCTAAAATGCAACCATAAGGTGCTAAAAAAATCAAAAGCCAAACTTAACTGCCATTGAGTTGGGTCCAACTCATAGTGACCCCTCCTTGGGTTTCCAAGGTGATAGTAGATTGCCCAATCTTCCTTCCGAGGAGTGACTGGTAGGTTTGAACTGCCAGCCTTCTGGTTAAGAGGTGCCTTAAACACTACTCCACTAGAGCTCCCAGTAAGGTGGTAGGGATACTCAAATTACTTGGAGGGTCATAATCCCTTGCCTGCCATTCTAAATGTCTGCAATCAGCCAGTTGTGTGTATGTGCGCACATGTGTGTGTGTGTATGTGTATGTGTGTGTGTGGAGTTGCACTTTTGGGGCAGGTGTATAGTCACCTACCTCATTGTTTTTAGAAAATTGAGAGCAATTCACAGGGTGGGGTTGCAGATGGCAAGATAGCAGAAAAGGAGAAAGGGGGGAGAGCAGAAAGATAGGGAGGAAAATCTGGGTGATGACTCTTGAGTGTTTATTATATTATTTCCCGTCCTCTGTAGATTTAAAATGATACGGTAAACAAATTTAGAGAGAGAAAGAATTGTATGAGAAGGTGAAAGGTGAAACCATTACTGTACAGTGGAAGGGCCATCTAAAACAGAGCATCCAGAAATGCAAATGTCTAAAATGGAATTCTAGAGGATGCTGTGACATTCAGGGTAGGAGAAACATGCCAGAGGAGGCCTGAAGCAGCTATCTCCACGGTAAGAAAAGAAAGTTGTGTTAAATACTAGATGTTGGTACAAACCAAGATGCCTCTTCAGCCCAACAGTTATATTAATTAGGTATCCCACATTTAAAAAAAAAAAGTCCGTATGGACTTGATGCCTATGACTAATCACAACATCTTACTTTTATTGGATACACTGCTATTTGCATTACTGTTCTAATTGGTGATTGGCCAAGTCAAATTAGGGAGCATAAGAATTGCTCAAAATAAGTAAAGGGAAGCAGAGAGTAGAGCTCACCATGTTATAGGGTTTGTGTTACCCTTGAATTTGAGTTATAGGGTTTGCTACAGCCTGCTCAGCCCTCCTAAGAGAGCTTGCACACCCATAGGTGATCCCCAAAGTCTACAAAATCAGGGTGGGACAGACACAAAAGGAGAAAAGAGATTGGTCCCTCAGAAGTCCTTTCTAATTCTAATCCCACAGCTCTTTCAAGCCCTT